TATTGTACTAAGTATCATAAGTATGATACTACAGTCCTCCATGGCATTTCAATCCTTCTAGTATTAATACCAGCCTTCATGATCCCTTATATAGTCATCTACCTCACCAGATTTGTTTAAAAAAAAGTTTTCGGAACTTAAAAATTCACTTTCATTATATACCTTCCTCTTTGCCATTTTCAGTAATACTTGCTCCAACACCATCATTAATCAAGCACTCTTTTCACCATTTAGCTCTAGTTTTTCTGCTGATATTATAGCAGTTTTAAATTCTACAAACTGAGTAAAATATAAAAATAGAAACTATACCATCTGTTCAGATTTTCTTGGTTCTGGGTATTGTCTGGGTTCACGAAAAAGCAGACAGTCCAACCAAAATTGCAGTAAAATACCTTCTTATATACCACTCAAACTACAACATATCTGACACTCTTACGTTCATCAAAATTTTCTTTGCAGAGAAATGTGAATCGATCTAGTACCTCTCCAATACCCACTAAAACACAATCAACCCTCATTAAAACAAGTTATGATCCCACTATTACAAACGGAGGTACACCCTTTACATGCAAGGAGCTCTCTATATTTATTCGCCTCGGGTGTAATCGCCTGTCACACAAACATTTTTTCACAAATCGCTTTCATCTCGATGTCAGTTTTGTAACACAGAACCTTTTACGCCCTTCTTTCTCAGAGCGGAATGTTACTATAACTGCTCTTAAAAACATATGAGGCGGTATATTTATAATCTTCACAATTTCAGTTTTAAATCATAAATAGTAAACAATAATATAAATATTTTATAATATATTCACAGAATGCAATATCAGTAGATACCTTGTAGACAAGGTTATAGCAGTATCAGGTAGCTGGTGGTGATATTGTCACTGCCCTCTTTTCTGTTCATAGTCATGAAAATGAACTAACAACTACTTTAAATACAATAGATGTATTGATAAAGCAGTTTAACAGCCTCGGGTCAAGGCTTGTAAAAGCAAAAAAAAAAAGAAAACATCTACGGAATGTTATAAAGTACCTGAATGATAAATACAAAAATTTTGGGGAACTAAGTCAATTTTTTTTAACGTATTATACCTGAATAAAACTAAAAGGAAGAACAGGGTTGTGAGTATGGTATATATATTGGTGTACAATCACAAATGCATACTCATCTTGCAAATGCCTTATGCGTGGGCATGCCAACCGAGTAGGCGTATCTTCAAAGGTTGCTGTTGTAACTGTCGATTAGAGAAGAATTTGTAATTTGTTATTCATCTACTGCTTCATTACACGACATCAACGTAATAACTTATAGCTACTACAAGGTCTCGCTTCCTTAAACATCTGTTCGATATCACTGGTAAAGACATTAGAGATATTGCTTGTTTTACTGACTTATTTTAATAGGTTACCCGTTCAAAATTGGAGAAAATTGGAGAATTTTGGCCCATTTCTAAATAATGGCTTTCACCAGCCCACCCATACTGACATAGTTTTTTTAGTCCTCACCCTGCTCTCCAAAATGGTCCAGATGGAATAGTCCACTGGATTTGTATCTGGCAAATTTGAAATCCATTATGTGGACGAAATGAAGTGTGGAACATGATTTTTTAACAATTCGGGGTTCACGCGAGCTTTATGGGACGATGCCGAATCCGTGTCTGTAAAAAGACTATTAGAAATACCTTCATTTTCCTTGCCATAAAGGTTCTTATAGAAGCTGAACTTGTTACACAAGAAATTCATAGTCTTGCTGACTTTTTCTTTTCGATTGTTGAATTCTATTCTTTCTTTATCTATGCTTTACATGCTTATCCACTTCTCTATTTTGATATATTGCTGATATAAATTATACTTATACATAATTATAATACTTATACATATAATAATTATAAATTATTATAATAATCATTCTATATTTTATCTATTTTTATCTGTAATCGTGCAAACTGCACCTTAACCCGGTCAAATGTTTAGAAACTGTATATACGAAAATAGGTGCTTCATAGAATTTTTAGTGCTGCACGTGACAATATAATTTGAAGACAATTTTATAACCATAAATTGGAAACTTCTTATGAAGGTGAAAGCCTTTTGATATTCAGAAAAATAATTAATAATCAATGAGTAACCTACCTAATAAGACAAACAGACAAAACTGATCCACCAAAACAGATAATGTTTGAGAATGTGCTAGAAACTAAAGTAGTGCCAACTTAAAGCCAATATGGATGCACAGCGATGGCGCAACATTAATTTAGGTGTACGATGGTGCTGACTAAAAAATCTGGGACTAAGGTTTAGGAGAACTCCAACTTGAGATCAAATCATATTCAGGTAAAAACAATAGAACGTAGCGTTTTAAATTTAGAAATATGTTTATGTCTGTAACAGAATACTGAAGCAGTTTTCTAAAGAAAAATTTCGATCCTCTAATAGCATCCGAATGAACAACGAGTTATACAAATTAAAATCCAGCGGTTTCACTGGTTAGTTGAACACAGCGGAGGTGTCTCGAGAGCATAATATACCCTATAAATAAGCAAGGTGAAGTAGGATTACCGAGCAACTATTGCAGAATATCTTTTATGAATTGTATTGCAAAAGTTAGTAATAGACAGATTAACAAATTGGGATGAATAGTATTCATTGGGATGAATAGTATTCATTGGGATGTATAGTATTCATTGGGATGAAGAGTAAATGAATATCAGTATGGGTTCCGGAAAAATTATTCTACAGTAGATAATATTTACAACTTTTTATCGATAGTACAGATAAATTTTAAAAAACAATAAGAAAACGTATGTCTTTTCTGTAGACTTCAAAGCAGCCTTCGATCTTAACTCTGAGGTAAAATGTCCTATTTAATATCAAAATATATTAATTAATATCCATTATTTACACCGTGTATTTATTAGTTTACTATCATATACTAACGTTTTATACTATTTAAATTAGTTTGTATTGGGGCCTGTCAGAACGATAAAATAATAATCATTATACTATAAGTCGACGGACGATATTGTGTCACAGTCGCAATTTTTATTTATATATTAATTTAAGATTCACATAAAGATACTGTAAAAGTGAAATTTTAAATTGAATAAATATATATATATATATATTTACATACATTATGTACCAAAATATGATAAACATATATTCGCTTAAGACATAAATAACAATAATATATATTATTTATTTATGAGAATAAGAGTAGGATATCTTAATTTAAATATAATTGTGAACAGGACGGACAGACGGGATATTGACGGGATAAGTATTTCAAGATTCTAGACAACTACAACTTTTTTATTGAATTTAACACATACAAATAAATCTTTCTTGCATTTTTTTACTACAAGTGATATCCATATTTCTTATAAAAGATAACATTATCTACCGATATAAACACATAATATTTTAACGTAACTTTTAATCGGAATATTGATTTTAAAATTGAACAAATTTTTATAACCTAATTAACATTTTTATTACTAATCAATAAATTCTTTCCACCTTTAATTAATATTTCTTATTCAAAAAATTTCGTACTCAAATGAAGTTTTGAAAGTATCGACGCACTTAAAAATTACAAGGCCCCAAGCTACGAAAATATTACGATAGAGTTGCCTAAGAAAAACCGAACTGACGAAGACTCGAATCTATAAAAATCAATCAGTATGAGTTCGAAGTTATTTTGTTATTTACTAATAATAATTTACTGTGGGGTATAGACAATGCGCACCACTACGACAACTTAGCTTTGGGTATTATGAAGAATACTGGGAGAAATGACTATCCGCAGGCGAAAATAAAGTAAAATTTTCTAAATCACAATGGTTTAGACATGTGAATCATATCTTAATGATATGAGTCACGATGCTCTTAAGCTAAGTGTTAGAAACTGGATATATATATCTCAATATAGAAGACTAAAAATAACGTAAGTTAGGCAAGTCAAGGCTCATCTTGAGCTGTAGTGCTGAAATATAAACAATAATTAAATAATTCACAGCATTTCGAAAAAATTTAGCTTTGGTATCTGTAATAATAAAGCCCACTACTATAAACTAATGTTGTTGTTGTTATAACCCTGCTTGTGAAGTCCCTTTGGGGGTGTTGAACTGTACTTGGAACCTCTATAAACTAATAGTTGTCACGGATGTTATTCCTTTTTTTTCATATATCATTTAATCCGTTGACAGTTGATATATAATGTTATTAATATTTTCTATTTATGTTATTTAATATTGTACTTTCTTTAGAAAGAAAGACGATAATTAAATGATGATAAAGCAATCAATAAACAATGAATAAAAACACTCAACTATTCAGACAACTTTTTCACAAATTATTTTTCACATATTATAAACCAAAACAAATATTTTTTGTCAATAGGTCCTAACTGAGTAATTACAAAGCGGTTGGTATTATTTGGTAAAACATCACTTATCTATTAGCTGTGAACTGTCCTCTGAGTTATCCTCAGTTTATATAAGTTGCCTATATTAGTTACAGCCGAACTCATATATTAACTCAATTGTTAGTAATTATATACATCAAAAACATGATGAATGTGTTGTTGGATGTTCTTGATTGTTATTGTTGCTGTTGTAGCCCACCAGTATCTGAAAAGCAAATAACATATAAGGATTACAAGACGAATACATGGGTAGGGGAATGGATGAGTGCGATTAGAGTTAAGAGGATAATGGAAAGGGAGTAATTGGAAGGGAATAATGGGAAGGGAATAATGGGAAAGATATTATTGAAATCAACCAAGACCCAGAGGTGATGAGTCCAATGGTCGATTGGACTTAAATTAGTGTGTGCAGTGGGACAAGAGAACAGACGGGCGACATCATTGGTGGTAGAGCTGCAATTCCTGACTTCGCAAATGAAACTCCACTTTAAATTTAGTATATTGTATTGTACAAAATAATACTAAAAAATTGCAAGCAACTTTATATATAAAGTACTTATAAATGTTAAAACATAATAACTTTTAACTCTTAATATATACATACATATTGCATCAGTCTTTAAATTAATACATCATTTGTTGTGTTTATAGCGATTGGTGGTAAGTATATAGCTCTTATTTGACTACGTAAGCGGGCGATTTCTACATCTTCGCGTTCCATTTCACGTATGAGTTGTGAAAATTGCACCAAACCTTCTCGATTACCTGGGAAACCATAGGATTTTATAACATCTGTTTGTAAGTGCATTACCAATGGAAATACATGTTGCATCATTAGCAGCATCTCTTTGCCAGCAGACGCTTTCGCCTCAGATAATTTTTTTGAATGTTCAGGTTGATTTACAGTACGGATTATTTCAATTAAAATTTGTTTGGCTGTTTCATTGTTGAAATTCATCAAATACGACATGCTTCCAAGCAGACAAGACAACGGCAGTGCAGTGGCTGTTTATAAATTAATAAACTTTATGACATATTTTTTATAACAAATAAATATAAATATATTCTTACAAAAAATTAACTTAAGTAATTTCTGGAAAGTTGTTGATTTTTTGTTTATGACGCTGTCAACAATTGTGGAATTTGTGTGGAAAAATTACGCAAATGGAAAGGTGCTGTGGGATCATTCCAGATAAAAAACATGTGTTGCCAGCCTTTAGGTTTCTTTAATGCTACGCGAATGTATTACCAAAGTTAAAATATTAAATCATATTTACACATTTTTATAAAATATATAAAATTTGTATATAAAAAATTTTGATGTGAAATTTTTTATAACTATGAAAACAAATTTTAATAAAATTGTTCAAAACACAACATACTAGAAAGCGTTTTTAAAAACAAATTTAGTGCAATATAATCTATTCTACATATATATAAAAAATTCATAAAACATATAAACAATTATTTATTAGTTATTTAAAAAATTAATTGGAACATAATAACAAAATTTTAAAAAACTGCTGTCTAAAGCTAAAATCTAGAATACGAAACGCATTAACAGGAATCATTTCTATTGAAAACTATTTCAGTAAACAAGTGGTATGTATTTATTAATTGCACATTAATTTAACAACAGCTTCACTTAATTAATTTAGCAAAGTAAATTAAGGGTCTGTTCCACGACCTACTAGTAGTAACTCTAAGTAACACTGTGCGTATACAAAAGTGCGTTCTACCAGCAAATTTTCAAGTAAATGAGAGCATCTGAGAGAGCGTAACAATCCTGTCGAAATTTGAAAATGCTACACAGACTTTACTCGTATATATTATTTCAAATAAAATTTGTATTGATGTGTGAATCACCTGTTTTGGTTTGATTTAAAATTTTTGTATTGTTTATTTACGCGGCACTGATGTTCTCACCAGATTTTACACAAAGCTGTTCCATGAAAATCTGTGTAAAAAGTATATTTTGGCACTTATTTGTGTTACGGTCTAAGTTTGTAGTTTACTTGCGTTTTACTTTTACTACGAGTAGCTCGTAGAACAGATATATTAATAGTTTTTGTTTTTATTTGTGATGTTAAAAAAAGAAAATAGGATAAAGGAAAAAAATTGTAATATAAGTAATTGGTTTTTATTTTAATCTTCAGTATTTCTACTGTTTTAATATTTCGTTTTAAAAATTCCGACTTTTTATTAGGATTAGTCATGGTCTTTATTTAGCATGCTAAATTCGTGCTTAGTTGTTGTTCGGTGTCTGAATTATTATTTACAAATACAAATGTAATATGTTTGTATTGGCGAATATAGGCCAGCATGTGTTTTTTGACACAATTGCGAGCCACCGAAAACGACTAATATTAAAGTGCTATATGTATTCTAACACTTTAATTTGTATAAAGGTGACTTTAATTTTTTTAAATTCTAATTGTGTAATGAACTGTTTTCAGTTAATATATATGGAGAGGCTTGTAAATATATTCGTTTGCGATGTTTGTATTTAATAGAATTTGACATGCTAAATAAAATTTGTGAAGACGCTTATCAGCTGTTTTTAGTTAACAAATGATTTTTGGAGAGGATTGTAAATATATTCATTCGCGATGTTTGTATTTAATAGAATTTAACATGCTAACTAAAATTTGTGAAGATGCTTATCATACAATTTCCTTGTTTTTTTTTTTGCATGTTTAAGTTGGAATTGATTAATGTGCCGCTGAAGGAACTATTGCATATTTTCAATATTTTCAATACCATACAGTTTTAAATTTGTTTCTTTAAATATCAATCAAAGTACAAACCAATTACGTCTTTATACATATTTGGCACAAGCCAATTCGAACTTTAATTCCAAATCCTAAAACAATTCATGTCTTTTATGTATATGCTAATGTATTTTTAGCGCATAAAGAAATACACCCACGTATTTTAATTGCAATGAATCTGCTTTAACAATTGCAGTTTATTAATATCTTTTCAAACCTTACAATTTAAACTGAAAACTTATATTTAGCTTCGATTAATTTGTATTTCGGAAATAGAAGTTCGAAAAAGAGGTGCAGCGTGTTCAAGAAAATTCAACCACCAAACATTTGTTTACATTTTTCTGTAAATATGTCAAAAACAACTTTCTCAAACTGTCAAAATGGCATGAAAAACTTTTATTTAGGATATGTTTAATGTATTAATTTTCATTTGGAACATATTTGGAACTCATTCTAACCTCGTTACAACTCATTTATACAGTATGAGATCCAATGGAGATCTTGAGATTTTGTATGCAAAAATGAGTCATTTGCTTTTTAATTTTTGACCAAAATGAGCCATTTAAGGCAAATGTAAATGCCACATTACTTAACTAAAAAAATATTTATATATATTATTATATATATCAAACATTAATTTAAATCGATACAACATGAATATACAATTTCTATTCAGTTGTCAAAATATTTATAGCACTTATTAAATTACTAACTAAATTACATAACAAATTGTAAGCGCAATTTTTTGCGAAAGCCTATATATAATAAAATTATATAAATTTCAACGCAGCAACACACGATTTTTCAAAATTCCTTTTATGTTAGTTTTGGTAAATAAAAAGTACTTAGATTTGTTAAAAATGGCAACGCCATGTTGACGTGCCAAACTCAAGAAACAAAATGTCATAAACCTGAGAATAAGAGTGAAGTAGGCAAAATTTTACAGGTTTTTTACAACCTATCCAATATACAAAATTTAAAAGTATAAAACTAAAAATTTGCATGGAAAGTTATTGTAAAAAGGAGAAGTTTATAAAAAAAAATAGAAAATTCAAATATATAGTCAAATAAATGCGTTGGAAAAAGAATTTATAAACTACAGAAATATTAACGGCTGTGCGTGAGGAATTTGAGGCTGAATTTTCTAACAAAAAAATTGTAGAACGAGAGGCGCAATATTTGCCAAACCAAACGAAAAAACAGTCATTTTATGAGGCCCATAGCTTCAAGGTAGGTTATTGCATACATTAAAATAGTGATATTAACATCGAATACGACCGTGTGCGGTGTCTGTTCTGAACGCAGATAGGTTTCTCTCTTTTAAGACAGTGAACTGCAATTTTCTTCTACAATATACGCCTATAAAATATTTATTTAGTATAATAAAAGTGTTTAGGGATGGATGTTGATGGTCTCTCAAATGATCAATATGAGAAAGTGCTACAATTTCAGGATTTAACTGGTATTGAAGATTTAAATGTTTGTCGCGATGTTTTAATACGAAATGATTGGAATCTTGAAGTAAGTTCAATAAATAAATAAATTTTTCTATTTACTAGAACTTAAATTTCTTTCAAAAATAGGTTGCATTTCAGCAACAATTAAATATTCGAGAGGGACGTCCAACAGTATATGCATCATCAAGTAATGCACGTGCACCTGCCGTTATAAATGATCAATTTATGCAACAAATATTTTCAACTAGTAGACGTCGAAATGTTGGCCGAAATTCATCTGATTCACCGTGGGCACCTCGTGGTTTCACTGGTTTTATTGGATATGTTATACAATTGGTATTTAATTATTGCTACTCTACTCTAACATCAATATTAACTTCACTTTTAAATTTTGGACGAAATGATGACCGGCGTAAGCACTTTTTATTTTAATATTTAATATCCTAAATGTTTGTCATATATATATATATATATATATATATATTATATATATTAATTACAGTGGTAACGGATCCGTTAGGCGATGTTTTAAGATTTATAGAGGCATACAACGAAAAATATCCACAACATCCAGTCTTCTATCAAGGAACGTATGCTCAAGCATTAAATGACGCTAAGCAAGAACTTAGATTCTTGCTTGTATATTTGCATAAACATTCTGAAACAAATTCTGAAGTTGAATCATTTTGCAGTGAAACTCTATCTGATCAAAGAATCATTGATTACGTTAATCAAAATACATTATTTTGGGCTTGCGATGTATCTTCCCCAGAAGGTTATCGTGTTTCTCATTCAATAAACGCGCATACCTATCCAGTGATGGTTATGATCGGTTTACGTTCAAGCCGTATGATAATCATGGGGCGTTTTGAAGGTGACTGCACGAGCGAGGAACTATTGCGTCGTCTACAAACAGTGATTGCTTCAAATGAATTGTTTTTAATGCAAGAAAGATCAGATCGTTTAGAACGAAATTTCAATCAAACATTGCGACAACAACAGGATGAGGCATATCAACAGAGTTTAAGAGCTGATGAAGAAAAGGAACGCTTAAAAGAAATTGAACTTTTGGCTATGCGAGAAAAGCAAGAGGCTGAGAAACGTTTACTCGAAGAAGCTGAGAAGCGAAAGGAGGTAAAACTTTTACATATAAACATAATTTAATAAATTTATCCTAACATCATTGCATCATTTTAATGTACGTGCTAATATTTCTCAGTATTTTTTTTTTTTAATTATTTTTTAAATTTATTTTGTTTAGTCTAGCTATTTAATACATTAAACAAATAAAAATTTAATTAGTAAACACATTTTTCATTGTGAAATTCTCTTCTTCGCAGGAAATCATTAAAATGAAATTAAAATTACTTGAAGAAGTTCCAACTGAGCCTCCACTTGATTCGCCCAGCACTATTTGTGTGGTTTTTAAGCTGCCTAATGGCGAACGTCTCGAAAGAAGATTTTGTAGAACAAATTCTATCAATGTAAGTAATCAAATACCCATAAATGAATTTGTATAATTATAATATTGTGCATTACCTATTTGCGTGCATGATCTTATTTATGTGAATATGATCATTGGCGGCCCATGCATGTGTGTATGTATTTAATTACTTATTCATTTTATTTAAAAAGTTAATTTATAGTTTCTTTGTGAGCTCTCTTATCAATAAGTTTGTTGCATAATAATTATTAGGGCTAATGTTCATTTAGGTATAAAAATTTAATGATAGACTTTAAATATAAAATTTAAAAATAAATTATTTTAAGGGGTCTCTGAATAAGTAGACAGGGTCTATTTACCAGATATCACGGCACATAAACTGATCTTTTTAATTTTATTTAATTAGTATCGTATTTAAAAAAAACTATATAATAAAATAAGGGTAAACCTTAACTTATAAAAAACGCAAAGATATTAATTTAAACGGTAGTTTTAAGTTAATCCTCTGTTATACGCGAAGACTGAAGATTTACTAGAGGTTAAGTAGAATCTACGGTCGTTTCAACCCACATTGTTCTAAATATTTAACGCATGAATAAAAGGTTAACAAAATTAGCACAGTGGAATGGAAGGTTTAAATAATAGTTGAGAATAAGTAAACCTTATATGTATCCAATATATTAATATATATTTTTTATAACTATTAATTTTCTATAAAATATATATTACTATTACTTTTGCAAATATTGGGCTATCTTATATATATCGCGTATTGGTGGTATGGTGACAGATAGGAAAATAGTTAGCTTTTTTAGAGTATCTTTACCATTATATACTTATTAAAGACTATATAGTTATTAAAGACATAGAAATATAAAATAAAAGCACACAACAAATAATGCCTCTACAAACAGAATAGTATTGAAATTTAACTATATTAAAAATAAAAATATAATTAATTAATTTAATTATTCAACAGCTGGTTTACGATTTCGTTCTAATCATATTCTTTTCACCAGCAATTGATTTTTTTAATGAACTTTCACAGCGAATTAACAAATCTCTAAGCTCGAACATATAAGTCAAGTACGGCTTTGGATCAGTCGTCTATTGAACGCGGACTCTAAGCTTCAAATTTGACGCGATACGAGTTCAACCCTTGGTATTAGGAATCCAATAATTAAATATTAGAAGTAATTCCAAGACCACTGATAATGGGTATTTGGCAATACTCGAGACAGTTGTATGGTCAGCCAAAAATGCAATTAATTATTAAAATAATATAAAAAGAATTTTTGTTGTAGTAGTTTTATACTTTTCGAAATCTCTACGAAATATAGAATTAGTATATTCAATATAATGGTCTACGCATGGGCACTAGTAGTCAATGCATGTCAAACATGGAACTGGAACGTACGCCTGCAGAGGGAGGAGTACATTTTAATTGTTAAGAAAGCAAATTTGCAGTTACACGTAAATTAATATTTTGAACTTTGGAACGCGTCGAGATTGCTACTCCTTTACAAACCACGGCAGTATAAAATTTTTGAAAAAAACAGTGGATAAAAATGAATCAATATTTTGTGGGAGAGAGCGAAGTATATAGCTGTCTTTTGTGGACAAACTATTTTAAGAATATATTAAGAGGAGTTTTGTTAGCGTTAAATAAATCTATTAACATATAGATAGGTTTCTGTATATATGTGAGGTCTATAACATTATGTATTATATATAACATTTTAAATATTCTACATATGCCCCTAAATTTTCCTATACGATTTAGAATATATACTTAAATAAAACTCAAATTTTATAAAATGAAATGCACGCTAACAGTATATATTTTGAAAATTAACATTTATATTAATATACTTATTATTATTTTTTTTCTATTTTAGGATGTCTACAATTATTTATTTTGTCATCCACTTTCGCCTGATGATTTCGAAATAACAACGAATTTTCCAAAGCGTGTTCTTTATAATAAAAGCAATTGTGGAGAGTGTAAAACACTGGCAGAGGTTGGTCTTAAAAATCGTGAGGTTCTCTTTGTACATGACTTGGATGCATAATATTTAAAGCAATATCATTATTTTGCGGATCAACTCATATACGTAAAGAAGAGTTTTATACATATTTTATAAGTCCTATTTTAAATAATTTTCATCTCTTTGGTTACGCCTACAATTTATATTGCAGTTCACTGATAAATTATATAATTTTTGATAAATTCCTTCTAAATGGAAAGATAACATTTAAGCAGCACGCATTGCCTAAGACAACAGAGACAAGAAGCAGATTTTAGTACTTAAGAGCATTTAATTGGCAATGTTAAGTTTTTCTTTTAGTTGTATTATATATATATAATAGAAATATATATATATACATACATATATAATATTTTTTTTAAATACATTTGCTATTAGGATTTTCTAATATGGTTACAAAGACATTTCCTACTTTTTTGTTCTTAGTTGTGTGTGTTATTTTGTATGAAAGATTTAAAAAAAAATCAGGTAAAGTTATAAATTAAAACAAAAATATTATTACATATGTATGTATCTTTTTACAAAAATAATAAATTTTTGTACAATAACTAATATGTTTTGATTGTTATTTCTATAAGAAAACGTGTGGTAACATTAAATGAAAATAATTTACATATATAAGTCTAATGGGGAGGAAATTTAGAGTCCACCGCTTTAGAAAGACCGCCTTACCTTGTGCTTAGTAAATTAGTTGTCGTTGTAACTAAACGCCGAATTGAGACCAGACACATAAAAAAAGTACAGGGTGTTTAACAGTAGGGTAGTGTAAGGAAAGTAATATGGAGATGGGATGGATTAATGCAGAAGGTTAGTTTAAGCTGGAGTGTCTGCACTAAGCTCACTTATGTTCACATAATGACGCGTTGTAATACCACGGATTCACGCTGTTCATGCAAAGCCTAAAGGTTAACGTAGGAACAAGGTTCTCAAGACCGTTCAAGTGAAAGTGAACAAACCTGATAAGTCTATAAACTTGGCCAAGTCTCTAATATTGCAGTATGGGAATTCTGTCAGGTCGGTAAGAAAAGTGACGCCGTAAATTTTAGAGTTTAGATCTCCTAACCAATGATGGGCAATCACACATAAGATGGAGTATAGTTTCCTCCTTATGCGTAAAGACACAACCACAAAGAAATTATAAGGTAGAAATTATCTCATAGTATGTCTTTCTACTACACAGTGACCCGTCAGCACTGATACTGTTGTGCTGAGCAGTTCACGCCTTACCATAGTTAAAACAGCTAACTGGTACGTTCGTTGTTCAGTTAAGACGTGATTTATACTTTCATGACTTAGACTTTCATTTATTGGAATACAAAAACTATCGTCTCGAGTAAAAGTTTTATTGTACCAGACCCCAATACCTTTATCTCTCTTGCACTTAAAAACATAAATGTGTTAATATAAAGTTACATCATCTTTTTTCTTTATATGGAGAATAAAAAAAACTAGGTGTGGTCAATTCTATCAGCACTGATATTATTAGCAACTTTAGAGAAGCTCTAAATCTATTTACGATTAAATAGCAAATAGATTTTTTAAATAGGTTTAGGATTTTATGATTTTTTTTTTTTTTGGTTTGTTACTGGCTCGCCCCAACGCTAGTATTAAACACTACTTGATCACAGATATTGAGATGTGAGTTTGGGGTACTGAATTAGGGGAAATATGGGATCTCAACCTAACTGTATATATATATCGTTCAATTTTTTGAAATTCCATAAATCCATCAATATTAAGATAGAAGTTATACTGCGTATAAGAAAAAACACTATTGGTAGTTAGGATGTGGATTAAATCCAAACAGTTTATAAGTAATTACCTGATTATGATTTTATGATTGTAGTTGTAAACTAAACAGAGAAACTATAGAGTAGAAATACGAATGGATTATAACATAAGAGAGTACACTCATCCCGTGTCGATTAAAGGAGTATGTGGAAAATAGCTTGAACAAATGTTGAGGGCACTGAAACTACTCCCAGTCAGGGTGAAAAAATTTTGTCAGCTCAATGAGGCAGCATCTTAGACCAATTGATTTGGAATGTGTGCACGTTAAGGTGCAAAAAGCAATAATAATCCAGAAAAAGTTTATTTTGTTCAACTGCCCTGACTTTCGATGACTGATTGCAGACGATATGGCATGGAAAGGACTAAATTTTTCGTTTTAAACACCGTTATTTAATACCAGGCTTTTCTGAGAGCTCCTTTTAGTAAATCCCTGTTACTTGTTGCTTCATTTTTCGATTTGCGTTTTATTAACTCCCAAACCTGAATAGGATTCAGGTCTGGTGATTGAGGAGAATTATGAAGCTACCATGAAGCATAATAAAGTAGGCATCCTTCCACTGAAAGGGCGGTATGCTGAGGATCTCTGTCCTGTTGGAAAATCCAATAATGTCCAAGATCTAATTCGTTCACAGAAGGCTGTAAATGTTGTTACAAAATGCTCTTGTACTGATATTGGTTCATTATACCGTCAATGAATGCCCGCTGACGGTGTTAGGTTTGTGCCAGACCCTTGCACAACCATCCGTTTTAAACAAATTGAATTTGCGTTCATCAGTCAAAATTACAGTATTTCAAAAACCCACATCTTTGTTTTTGTATTTATTTGTAAAATCCAATCATAGCCGCTTATTTTTTCACTTAGTAGTTTCTTTCGGAGAACTCTGCTTGAGTACCCATTCTCTTGCAAAACCCTTTGGACGGTTTTTGAATGAACATGTTTACTCAAAACATTAGCGATATCACTAACCAATTTTGGAGCACTAACTTTCGGCCTTTTATGCATTTCCTTTAGGATATAGCTAACATCTCGACGAGAAAGTGTTTTTGGTCGTAATGGTTTGTATTTTCTAACGATATTTTGGACACTTAAAAATGTGAACATTCATTTATTTTTCTATTTCTCGCAAGGATTCGACTTGTTTAAAGTGCTTAGTTACCAAAATTTTAAAATATGACTCCATTCCTTTTCCTTTGCCCATAATGACTCATATAACTTACACTGACAATAATAAAAACGCAACTGTGGTAATCACCAAATTTGAAGAAAAAGAGAAATACAGTAAGATCCCGCTTAACGCTGTGTCGGTTTAGCGCTCTTTTATTTCAACCCGAACATAGTAGTAGATGTTTGAAAAAACAGACGAAGAAGAGAAGCAAACAATAAGAGAATTTTGGAAAAACTACAATATCATGAATGTTGCAGAAAACATAAATCTTTCTTTGAATGAGATAACAGAAAGATCTTTGAAAAGAATATGGAAGAACATTTGACCAGATTTAAGTAAGAGCGAAGACATTAAACCCTCTGTCCTTATGGATGAAGTAGTGATAGAAGTAGTGGAATTAGCGAAACAAACCGGTTTAGATGAGGTAAAAGTGGAAGACGTCAAAGAAATAGTTCAAGAAACAGCAGATAGTTTTTCTAATGATGAGCTCAAGGAATTAATTGAGCAAGAAGAAAACAAAAATATTGATAGTAGTGATTTCGAAGAAGAGCAAAAAGAACTTTCGATATTGTTTGTGAAAAGGAATTTGACCACTACAACTGAAATTATGGACTAATTTGTTAAAATTTATCCAAATTTTGGTAGGAGTTCAAAAGCAAGACGGGATGTTATAGATGCTTTATCCACTTATAAACAACTTCTAACAGAACGCAGAAGAAAAATTGCAAACTACATTAGATGCCTTCTTGACAAAAAGGCAGAAGATTGGAAACACAGAATAGACTGAATAACATTGTTTTTGTTTTTGTAAGAAATAAATACATAATTATTAAATTTAATACCTAAGCAATTTCTATCAATCTTTCCCTAACCTCAATATTTACATGTTAACATAGCCTCGTTTAGCGCTGTTTCGCATTACGCTCTAATTTGATGGAACATATCCCAGGCGTTAAGCGAGGTCGTACTGTATAACGGTATCCCTTTCTGATAAAATAACCGAAATTTGAACCGCTAGTGAAAGTTTTTCCATGTATATTTATACTTTTATCCGTATCATTTTATAAATGTATGTATGATATGATATATATGGCACATTCATAAATATATATATGATATAATATGTATATGACGTGTATATGATATGTACAGTCAAACCTCTCTATAACGAAGTCGTTGGTGCCTACAAAAAACTTCGTTATAGAGGGGTCTTCGTTATAGAGAGGTTGAACAAAATTGTATGTACGTAAAAATATATTTAATTCATGTTTCTTCATACATAACATTAAAATCATTAATTGTTTATTGGTAAGCCCATAATTTTAGTTTGCTTAGACATTTTTACTTTTTCCTTATTAAGGAACTCTTCCAAATCTTCTAACAAGTTAATAGCTTGCATAAAAAGAAGATTCTCATAAGTTACAACGTATGAGTTGAGAGGTTTTTTTGTATGCAAAAACTTCGTTATAGAGAGGAATTCGCTATAGAGAGGTTCGTTGTAGAGAGATTCGCTGTAGGGAGGTTCAAATATATGAAACTCGCTGTGGCTTCAACAAAACTTCGTTATAGAGAGAAATTCGTTATAGAGGGGTTTGACTGTATATGTATATATATGATATATACGATATGTGTATGATATGTATATGTATATGATATACACGTTAGTAATGTCAATACATGCAAATACAGCAATAATTAATCTCCAATATTTTTAATAATAAATTAAAGATGTATTTAGTGCTAAAAATCGTTTCAGCGTTTTTTTAAATAAAATAAAAAATAATAAAAAAATACAACACAATTGTTTATACTTTCTAAAATCTTGCTGATGTAATCTTAAAATTAGCAATGTTGGTTATATATCATATTAATTTTCTTGCAATATAAATCCAGCTCAGCGTACAATCATCGCTCGTATGATTAGCAAAACATTTAGGTTCTTTGAATTCACAATTCAGGTGATGACATTTGTAATGTCTATTTTTATTTTTTATATTTATTTTATACAATATGTTTAAAATAAAAACATATTGCGTTTTATGTCGAATTTTTTTTTGTTATTTTTTTTTTGTTATTTTTTTTTGAAATATAATGACACTGCCTTATGGCAATGAACCTTCACCTTTTTTATAAATCTTCTTAATACTCATATTTCTTGCTTGGTCAATACTACCACTTGGTCCATCTTCTGGTTCACAGTTTATACCACTATCAAGAATTATAGGAGCTTGAAATTCTTTATTAAATGTTGGACTAGAATTATCTATTAAACTTTCAATGCATGACATATATATATCATCGTCATCATCCGTTGTATTCGAACTTGTATTTTTAATTTCAGATGATTGTGGTGTAAAATATATGGTTGAATTATCGGTAGCTCCTATATCGCTGTGTTCAAATGGTCTTTTTGACTCTGGATCTTCTTGTCCTCGAAGCAATTCGCCTTCACTATTTACTTCTGAGAATGCAGGACCATTGCTGGTTCTTACTGATTTAGGCGTACTAGTTGATATTTTATCTAGTGCTCTTTTTTGAGGATCATTTTTTTTTGATCCACCTGTATACCGCCTAACACGCTTCATTTTCTCAAATAATTCGGGATGGTCATAAATATATTTATTATTAATATTAAACTCTGAGGGATCTGCTATTTTTCCAATTTTTTTGGATTCTTCGATCCAAGCCAACGATACTATTGGTTTATTTAAGTTTTTCGCTTTTGTGTAATTATTAAAATTTCCATCTTTAAAGACCAAGTGAGTAATTTTAGGTGTTATACTTCGTGCTATCTTGGCCCCATGCGTTTTTAAATGTGATTTAACTGAACTAGACATATTTATATTATCAGTGCGCACATCAACAAACGCAACTACTTTATCTAATAAATTATTAGTGGATGGTGGTGGTGCTGCTGTGTCAGTAGAGCTGGTACTTTCACTCTCATCCATTTTAATAAATTTCTATTCAAAAAAAAAATTGATATTAAAACAACAAAAATTATTTATTAAATCATATATATACAGGAATAAGCGATATCTGAACATGTAATTATACTATATTACCTTTCTTAATCAGAACCTACCAAATTCCAGAAATATCGACTAATGCTTTTCAAGCATATAACAAAACTCTGAAAATTTTCTCTCCAATTTCGGATATAAGAAACCTCTTTCAGTAAAATTAAAGTGAGCTAGTGCTGAACCAACTTATTCGTATCATAAAAACTTTAGAAAACACTTAATTTTAATAAATTAATATCCAGAATATCTAAAATCAATAAATTTTATATAACTTACAACTTATTATCAGCCACAAAAAGTGAAGACGTAAAAATGTGAATTCTCGGAAAGAAGCACAAATTCAAATCACATAGTTTTCTTTAGAGTTTGCTTTTTTTACATTCAAAACCGTTTGAAATAACAAAAGCTTACTACGTTTTACTACTACTTTTTGTACATTAAGTACATCAGGGCAACCCTATGTCATTATCTGACATTTGACCATTTGTTCTGCACTTTTGTTTTCCCACATTGTCGTTTATATTGTGATTTTTTAAAATTAAAACAAAAATGATTAATAATCCATTTAGGAAACAACAAACAAATAAAAACACCAATAACAGAATATCTGAAAAGACTAAACAGTGGGGAAAAATTCCATTTAAACCAAAATCTGCTGCAGTTGGGAGGGAACATGCTGGAAACTCGACACCTTGGGCGGAATTCAAGAATCAAATATTGGAAACAAATAAACATGCAGACGCTATAAATATAAATACAGAGGATGCCAAACAACATCTTAAGAAACGTGAAGAAAATTACAGAAGAAACCTTATTGTAGAAAAACGAAAATTAGAAACTGTTTGGGATGACTTTGGCGAAGCAGAAGAATCCAACGATGTGCCGCAAAACAACATAGATCAGAAATTTGTGAAGTCTCCACATGTTGATAAACAAAACAATAAACAGAAAAACAACAAATTTAAGAAGAAGTTCAATCGACAGCAAGACAATACTCAAACGTTTATAAATGAAGATTTGCTTAAAAACTTTGATAGTAAAAAATTAACTTTTGAACAAAATAACAAATTGCGAAAAGTAATAACTGCAAATACTATGTTGGCAAAAAACAATAACCTATCAACTACTATAAAAAATATCAAACACAAACAAGGAAAAAATATATTTTTAAAGAAACAGAAAGAAAAGTAGTTAAATTATAATAAAATAGATATACGTATTAATAAAGAGTTTTTGTATGCCATAAATTGTTTTTATAAAATCAAATATTTTAAGAAAATAATTCTCCCGCAAATAAAAAAAGCAACTCAAAAAGAAATTTAGTATTTTGTTTTTTTTTTCTTTATTTCGAGATTGCAAATTTTTGCGGCATTTTTTATAAAAATTACTTTTCAGCAGTTAGAAAATTAAAATAAACTAAAAATAACTTCCTTGCAATAATAATAAGTTATTGTTGTTTATATAAAAGCATTTTTCTTAAGAATACAGGGTTTCTTGTCATCAATAGATCTGTTCCACAAGTAAAGTACAAACTGAGAGCTTAATACAAATGAAGTGCTAAATTTCGCCTTTTCCACAGATTTTCATGAAACAGCTTTGTGTAAAATCTGTTGAGATAAGATCAGTGCCGCGCAAATAAACAATACAAAAATTTTAATTCAAATGAAAACAGCTGATTCATACATCATACAAATTATTTTATTTGAAATAAAATGTACGAGTAAAGTCTGTGTAACATTTTCATATTTTGACAGGGATCTTAGCTCTCTCAGATGCTCTCATTAACTCAAAAATTTGCTGGTGGAACGCACTTATGTACACGCACAGTGTTACTCAAAGTTACTACGAGTAGCTCATGGAACAGACATCACCTAATATGTTCTGTTTTAGATTTTCTAGATATTCTATTCAAATTGAGGACTTTAATAAAGTTGAAAGTTCGATTTTTGATGGCTCCATGTGCTAACACTCGTAATTATATTTGATAACGCAGCATCACTACCAACAACCACGAAAAAAAAAAATTGCATTAAGTAGTAAAATTAAAAATTTCGTATTAATATATCTATTTATATATTTCAATTTTGTTTAAAGTAAAATTTATTTAATAATACTATGTGTAACGTAAATGTTCTAATTAATACTTATAAAATTAGTTTAATTCAAAACACACTAATATGTAACATTGTGAACGACTCCATTACACAAGCCTTGATTCATTTGAATTAATTGCATTTATTAGTTGATTTTAATATACAGGATATTCCCCTGACCACATTCTTCGATCTAAAAAATGAAATATATCGTGATTTAAAACAGAAATCGTGATTTGTACGTAAATTTGTACGTTTTAATTTGAATAGTTACGAATTCACTTTTTTATTATTTCTTCTGTAAATCCATATATAAAAAACATAAGTTGTTTTAAAAGTTTTAGTTATTTTTGAAAAAAAAAGAACCCTTATTTTCTCTTTATTCAATTTTTATGCAATTTTTTAAGAAGTTTGTGTATATACTAAATACCTTAGAAATTAAAGAATTATGCTTATTTATTAATAAATTTTATTACGTCTTCATAAATTTGTGCGCTTTAGTCGAAAAACAAGATTTCATTGAAAATGTTCTTTCAATCTTAGAGTATGTTCCGACTGGTTTTTGATTAATTAGTTAATTTGATTAACTATACAAAAAGCGTTCGGGTTTTTTTTAACTAAGTTAAGAATAAATAAAGGGAAGTAACACCAAAAATGTCTAATTCTATGTTCAGATACACCTTAATTTCACAAAAACCGAAATTATCTAAATAAAAAAATTTTTTATCTAAATAAAATTTTGGCCTGTACCAAAAAAGTGTTGGATGAAGGTAAGATATACCATCAAACGTTATAATATAAACTATAAACTTTTTTTAGCTTGATGAAGTACTTTTTGGGATGTAGAAGTTCCAAAAAGAGGTGCATCGTTTTCAAGGAAATGCAACCAACAAATATTTGATTACCTCTTTTCGTAAACAGCTTTCTCAAAAGCATTTATACAAAATGAAATCCATTGCATATATATATTTTGTATATATAAATCAGACATTTGCTTCTCATTTGTGATTTTTGACCCAAATCAGTCATGTGAGGTCAGTTTAAATGCCATATAAGTTGAGATAACGAAGAAGTGACATTTATTTTTAAAAACAACTGACTTTAATAAAACCGGGAAAATATTTTGAAAGTAGTGCAAATTTTTAAATTTGAATATATAGAAAAAACTGTAACTGTTATTAATTTAGGTAAAATACAGTGCAAAATAATAATCTACATATCTGAAATTCACTAAAGCTAATAAAACTACTAAAATTTTCCTGATACAAATGGTGTTTTGTCATGTAAGTTTTAACATTCGATTTGTAAACAAAAAGCATGTGATTTCCTTAATTTGGAGCAGTATGAACACATTCCAAATTAACTTAATTTCATTTTTACGAAATAAAAAAAATTTGTAAATTATTGGTGAATTGATGGAAATAGTAAATTATGTCGGTATGACAGCGAATATTGATATTCACCAGAATTTCGAGTAGGGTAAGTAAGATAAAAATCAGGTAAATTTGGTATTACCATAGTGAAAGATGTTTAAAAGATGTTTAATAAATAAATTTGTGAAGTTTTAAACAAAAATAATAAATAAGTGCAATAAATATATAAATAAATAAATATTTACATAAGTGCAGTGCAAAAAATATCTAGGAAATTTCAATTTACTTTACTTCAATTTACTTGAACTCGCACACGGCCATAGTTACGTACTGCACATAATTTATAAATAGTGGCATCTCTACGTGTTTGACATTTCTATGAGACATTGGCGAACGATGGCAATCAAATCTTCTGTTTATAAATTTAGTTGCCAAAGAATTACCACGTGCCTGATAAAGGATAATGTTTTGTATGTAAAATGTTGAACAAAGTGTTAGAAGTGTGAACAATTAAGATAATATAATAATTGATCAGAAAGTAATAAAAATTGTTTTTGAAACATTATTAATGATTCATACTGCATTGGTATTCATAGCTGGCATAGAAGAATATTATGAGTGATACAATGTATTATCCAGGAGGTAGTAACAATTACAATGGCAGAAATAATAATATGCGTTGTGACAGTCAACAAAATTATGTGCATCATGGCAACGCACGTAAATCACCCAGGGATACAAGTAATTTATTAGGTTCCAGTGGAAATGCATATAATCAAAGTGGTTATGATAGTAAAGTAAATGGCTACCAAGGTGGTCGTGGAGGCAATAACTATAATTATAACGATGATAGCAACATGATAAACAGTCGAAACAATGATGCAAAGAATTACAATAGATTTAAAAAAATTAATGATAGTAAAGCGAACAAAACTCCGAGACAACATAGAAGAGACAGACAAAAACAACGTAAAGTTAGAGCTCAACCTCAATTTGGAAAAAAATCTCGCGGTCGTTCGCATAAGAATTCATATAATAAAAATACCCAAAACAGTGAAATAAGACAAGAAAATATTACTAAAGCTGCCGATACTACGGTGGCAACAAATATTCCTAAAGAAGCGACGCCACCACCACTTTTGTCTATAAAATTAGAAAAGATAAAACAAGAAAACAAAGTTAAAGAAATGGCCACTATTTCTGTAAAACAGGAAAAGAGTTTAACTACCGAAAAACTAAATACTACTTTAGAACTGCAAAAAAAAAATGAAAGTTCTAGTGATAGTTCAGATAGCAGTTCGAGCAGTTCAGAAGAGACACCCGTGAAGGATAAAGTTCAAAAAAATGTAATTAATCCAGAACCAGAAACCCAGGCCGAAGATGTTGTTTGTTTAGGTCATGTAGAAAACAAGTTTTCTATTGACGATGAAGATAATGATAATAAAGAAGAGTCTGAAGAAGAATTAGAGGAAGCTGCGGTTAAAAATACTACAATGAATGAGTCCAATCAAAAGGAAATATGTGTACTTTGCGATAAAATTGTAAGTATTTCAAAATTAATTATAAATAGAAATGGTTTTTAATTAATGGATTTTATTTAGGGTCATACATCATTTCAATGTCAAATGATTTGCAAAAACTGTTCTGGTTCATATCATAATTTAAAAACCTGTCCAAAACCACCAAATTTAAGTATAATGTTACAAAGCTTTATGGAATTTTGTACGCTTCAAATCGGTTTCTTCAACCCTGAACTGAAATTTGGTTTCAATCAACACACAAACTATAATGTTGCTTCCACCGAGCAGTCAAACTCAGACAAGAAATCTAAACGTAAAAGTTCACAAAAGGATACTTTAAAAAAATTGAAAAGTAAACGTAAGATGAAGAATTCGGAAAAGAGCGAACAATCGAGTACAAACAGCACAAGTTCTGACGGTAGTTCAACAAGTAGTGAGAGCGAAGTGGGTTCAACAAAAAGTTCCAAAAAGCATAAAAGGAGGCGTTTGAAAAATAATTCAATTTCTACTAGTGAAACTGCTGCATACACTGCCAATCCTTTTATGGCGCATGCAGGTCTTCCACAGTTTCCACTGCCAGGATTTTCCCCTGCAGCTGCATATAATCCTACACTTTTCTCTCAGATGCTACACAGTGCTTTTCCTGGTCATGGACAATTAAATTTCAATAAATAAAAGCTGTATTGCGTATACTATTTCGTTGTAACTTTTAATTAGTTTTTAAGTAAAAATATGTACATAAAGAGTGTACAAAAAAATATGTAAATATAATTTTTATGTATTGTATTTTAGAATTTTTTTTAAGTGTTGATGAATTAATGACAACTCCTGTGATTGGTTATTGGTTATGCAAAGCATTAAAATTTGTGCTTAGTTTTTGCAATGCTTCCTGTGCTATTTGTCCCAAGACACCTTCTTGTGAAAACGTATCCTCATACTGAAGTGTTTGAACACATTGCCTCAGTAACGCAATAGGTTCAATTATGCGTTCTTCTAATGATTTAACTGTTATGGTGCCTGCATCAAAAGCACGCTTAGCTAATAATACTAAGGGAACATGTAATTCATACATAACCATAGCGCTTGTACGACTAAGACCAGGCTCAAACTTCTCCAACACGAGTAGCAATTGGCGACAAAGATCTATTTTACGTTCAAGTAAGCTATTAGAAAGTTCAATCATCTGATATCCTTCTACTCGTCCGTACATTTCGATCAAATTTTGTCGCATTCCAGTTAGTAAATAGTGTAGTGGATGCAAGACGTTTTCAAATTTTTCTAGATATTCTTCTGTAAGTTCCAAACGTTGTGAAGAAGACCCCATTTGTTTAACACTTTCAATTTCTGTTTCTATGGTAGATAGGTATTGTGACATATCTAACTGAGACATTTGAAATTCACATATATTGCACTTCCATTCCGCATTGTTGTCTATAAGTTAATAATAATTAATTAGTTATTAATTTAGCGTTTAAAATTACACAAAATAATTTATCATTACTTACTTATGACTTAAAAGTATATTAAATTGAATTAAATAAAATGGCTGAAGCATTACTTATGCCGTATGGCATAATTAAATTTAAGAAATACTTATTTAAGTTTTTATTTAGATAATAAATACAGTTACCTAATGGATTCAAGTTTGTCACCAAACCATCTATACATTTGTGACACTTAATAGAACTGAAATGCGTTCCTAATTCAGTTGGATCTTTACATCTATCGCACATACAAAGGAAAAACTTTCCATTTTTGAGATTATCTTGGCGCTCTTTTGTACCATCTAAGGTGTAAGTGTAAGAAAGGAAAAGTTGTTCACCTTCTTCCAAGTCACGCATTGTACGCAAGCGTACCCTAAAAATAAAGAATACAATTATAATTAATAAAATCATAATTACTTAATTAATATTATATAAAAGTCACTTAATCTACTTACTTATATCCTTCGCTTGGATAAACACTCCGAGTCACATTTGGTACGCAATTATGTGCCAATACTGCAGTATTTGGATATATACAGCGAAAGGTGTAACCTTCTGGTGTACGTGCTTCAAAAGCGTTTACCTCAAGTATACCTACGACCTGCATTATTAGATCTTCTGAGAATCGGTCGGCTAACATGCAAGGGCCACGCAAGTATTGTGCTATATTGATGCGATCGGCATTCCATATTTCAGTTAATGCTCGTCTTTCCCTATCATGATATTCCATTTGTGCAATCTCCCTCTCCCAACGTATTGGATCATTCTCTTTGGCTAGCAGAATCCTTAAAATGAAAAATTAGAATTAGAATTACAATATTTTTTAATTGTGTTTTTCAGCTTTGTTTTGCTTTTTAGATATTTTTTATTAAATTTTCTTTATAAAAAAATCTTAAAAAATATAGAATAGAATAATATTAGGATTTTCATTAAAAAAAATAACAAATTTTAAAATGATCGAATCTTATTTGGTACTGCAAAAAGAGGACCGTATGGAGTTAATAGAAATGGTTTATGACTACTCTTGGATGATCGAATTCTCTTTTAAGTAGTACTAGAAAAGATTGCAAACAAAGGATGTGATTGCAAAGAAGATTTAAAGTCGTAGCTAGAATTAAATTGAGACAGAAGTTTTTCTCATTCTTTTGTTGTTGTTGTAACCAGCTGAGATCTGCTTTGAAGTCCTTTTGGGAGGTGTCGAACAGCAATTGGTCGTTGCTGGCGACGAGTAACTCTGGGACGTAGACCCAGCCATCTTTGGAACCCGCATTCTTCTTGCTTTTTTTACCTAAAATACATTTTTAATCCTAAACAATCCCTTTCTCGCTCACACAAACATCATCTATCTTCATGCCAATCCATATATTAGTATTTGTGATTTGTGATATCCACCCCAAATGGATTATGTGTTCCAAATAATGCTAAATAATTAAATTGTCATGGGTTGGGAAAAATTGTCCAACTAAGAGAAAAGTCTTAGTTCCAATAGAAGAGTTTTCTTTATTGAGAAAAAAGAGTCTTCTTTATTGAAGAGAATCTCATGAGCATACTACTTCAAAACTGTTTGGGCTCATTTATGTCCGTGTGCGTGTTCGAGTAAATTAAGGTAAAGTAAATTGAAATTATCTAGGGATTTTTTGCACAGCACTTATGTAAATAATTATTTATTTATTTATTGCAATTATTTATTACTTTTGGTTCAAAGTTTTCAAATTTATTTATTTATTTATTAAACATCTTTTAAAATTTCCACAATAGTAATACCTAATTTATCTAATTTACCGTACTCGAAATTCTGATAAATACATTCGCTGCCATACCGACATAATTTACTATTTCCCTCAATTTACCATCAATTTACTTGAACTCGCGCACATATATAGGCCATATGGATTTTGTGTAAAAACTCGTATTTATTCCTCCACTTTGACCAGTTAATTGCGTTAGTGTAAACGTGTTGTAAGTAACAATTAACGAATTTAATTTTAATTATAAACTTTAGTTAATTTTTGTAAACATTGTTTTCGATTATACAATATTTATGTCTCACCTTAATGGTGTTATACAGTCTAATTGCGGGCAGCCCTTCTCATCGTTTGGTATTGAAAAAAATTTAACATGTGCCCGGGAAAATATTGAACACTCATTTTGTTTATGCTTTTCGGCATTGCCGTTGGAGCAGTCTGCACACAATGGCCACTTGCAATCAGCACATCGATCTTCCAATTGACTACTATTATGCTTAACTTGTTTAAAACACTCAAGACAAACAACACGACTATTACATTTCGGACCTAAAGCATATGGTTGTTCTTCTAGAACTACATCTCGAGCGGTAACAGCTTGAGAAACCGACAAGAATCGCCCAAAAATTGAATTTTCACCTACAACAGTGCGATTAACATTGATGTGCGGCTCATTAGGTGGCATTTTATGGACTGTGTTAGTGTGTGCATATCCATTTTAAATATAGAAATATTAAGTTATATTTTTATATACAAATTCTGTGTGAAAGTGTACTATGCACAAGTTAGTACACAATATGAAATAATATATATAAAAATGACTGAGGTGGTCGACTCTTTAGTCATTTGGTCGTAGTGAGAATTTCGAATAACATGCCAAATCATCTGCTGTATGTTGCAGATCTGAAATATTCTAATATTCTACCTTAGAGATTTTATTTATATTCATATTTATATAGAAAATATTAAACGAACTAACCTTAAGGGTGTTATGCAATCGAGTTGTGTGCAGACACCGTCTTCGCTCACATTTCCAGCAAAAGTAACATTTGCTTGAAAGAATATTTCACATTCGCCCTGATGAACTTGCAAGTCACTGCAAGTACTGCATAATGGCCAATCACATATGTAACAACGATCCATAGAATCACCATCCTCACCAAAGTCTAAGCTGCGATAGCAACCTAAACATACGATATCACTATTTTGCTTGGGTCCAAATGCATAGGGCAATTCCTCTACGATGATATCGCCCTTGGTCAGTGGTTCCGCCGCTACCATACAACGTTTGAAGTCATCATGATTTTCCACTCGAGTTTTTTGCATTTTGAATTCTTTTTCCTTAATTTAAATATATTATAAAATTATTGCTTTCAGTTCCTCAAATAAACGTGAAAAATACGAGTACTATCTAGAGTTTTACTAGAAAGGTTTTATTAATTTCAGATGCAAGTATTTGTGTTTCGTCTTCTATTTTTAGTACTAAGAATGTTTTTTTTTTCATTCAATTCTATAAGTACAAAAAGTTTTTTAAAGTATTTTACAATGCAATCTATTTTTTATTTTTAAATTGTTGAGTTGCAAGTTTGTCACTCATGAAATATAGCAAATGCTAGAAACTATACAATCCTAAAAAAATATCTTCTTTGATAAAAGTACTCAAATATATCTGTAACTCCTTTAAGGTGTCATAGCTACATTTTCTTATAAATCCGAAGTCCGAACCTCAGAGGAAGAATTAGACCGCATTCACATGTTCCCGGCCACACCTAAAATAATATTCTACTCCATATTATGTTGAGGCTAGTTGAATCAGTGCACTTGAGCACTTTACTCTCTATTAACTGCGAGGTTTCTTCATAACCCCTCTCTACGTCTTGACTATATTATTGTTTATCACTTCATCAGACTAACCAATAATTGATATATTGACAATGCGTTGTTTTTTTTTAAAATCTCCTCTTTGAAGACTAAATACATTGTTAACAGTAAAATTAAATTAGGTTGGAATGGTCGTCTTGTACCTAAAGCCCACTTGAGCTCAAATATGGGCCAGTTGTCAAACCATGGATTAGCGTTGTTTAAGCGCAGACTAAAAAGAATTTCTGAAACAACCGTAGTGATCAACGTACGAGCAACACCGAAAAGTACAACTCCCCTATACAAGTAAAAGTGAACCAACCTGACAAATTTATAAACCTGATCAACAACCTAATATTTCAGAATGATGGTTGACACAAATGGGCCCCTACAACTTTAAATCCTCTGCTAACCAATAATGGACACAGACATATAATATTTAGTACAGTTTCTGTCATATCCACAAAGCCATAACCTCGGCAAAAGTCATTATAGGATAGCCTTAATCTCATAACATGTCTTCCTAGTACCAATACCAGTACTGAGTTGGTGATACCTTAGTTAATGCGGCTTACTGGTACGTTTCTTGTTCAATTTGGACCAGTTCAAGATTGAGATTTGATCTGCGCAATATTGTTTAGGAAGAAGATAGAGAAAATAATTGGTTCGTTATCACCTTTATTTGGAGATATCAAGAAAGCATTGACATTTAATGCATTATGTTATTAGTCTGACATAAGGGTTCATCTGCCCAAGTTTGTTTAGCTATACTTAGATTTTTTTTTGGACAATTGTTTTGCAATTGCCGAGGACTTCCCTGTGCCCAGCTATCCATGTGAGCTGGACACTGACGCAAATAACTAGCTTGTTAAGAGAAACCTGTTATTGCTGAAATGTTAAGGATGTTCTGTAGCGCTTACCAGAGATTTGATAGCAGCTTGGTTGTTCGACAATACGATATTCATATTTGGGATTACGATATTTACATTGAGACCTATGTAACTACGTAGCAAATTGCCATTACTTCTGCCTGAAAGGGACTGCAATGGGTCGGTAATCAAAGCGAGATGCTAAGATGTCACTAGTTAAAAACAAGGTATTGTCAATTATTGCCAAGTTCAATAAGTTCGTTTTTTTGCTCATGACATCTATGTGTGAAGTAACTAAAAAATAACAATTATTGTTAATATTATTATAATTATTATTATTTAATTTATAGTCTGAAAATTACATACAGACTAAAAAACCAATAACCATTTTTAAACCACTATAGCCCAAGAGTTAATTTTATTAAAAATTAAAAAAAACAAACTGGAAAATTTCCTCACTATTCGAAATAGATTACTTGTCATAGGACACAAATAATTTTTAATTATAATAATCAATACAATAATAATAATTATAAGATTATTATAAGATGTTATGCTCTACCTGGAGACAGACTTCTGAGCGAATTCGAATAAATAAAGACTTTTGATAAATCTAGAACCACTGCCTTCAGTTCTAGATCTCAAACTTAATTGGACTCAATTATATAAAAACGAAAATATTTTTTAAATATGATTTTTATTACAATAGTAATTATAAAAAGAAAGGATAACTTTGTTTTAATTAATAGATTTATTCAATATTTCATATTTTACATTAAGTATATACAACTCCAAAGAGAGTCTTCTCTTATAAAATCCTTCCGAAGGACAGACAGACGGATGTTTTTACATTATGCCTTAAACTGTCAGAACAGATTTGGAAAATTTTATTTTGGTATTTTTGGATATTAAGAAAACGCAGCTGATAGTGACAAAATCACAATAAAGGCATTCAGTGCTATATACTTGAAGAGAACACCTCTTAACAGCGCTCAGATAATTTATTGAATTCGATTGTTTATAATCACGTAAAGAGTCTAATTGAAAAAATAAAACTTGACTTTTAGAAAATATTTACTCCCACGGCATCAACAAACAATAATAAATATTTTAGTCATCATCTGCAAAGACGAAAATATGTCATATATTGAAATATAAAATGTAAACAAAGAACAGCTGAGCTGTAAACAAACGCACTGAGAAATAATAAATAAATATTCAATTTTGGCCGTGTGCGATTTCGAGTAACTGATGGTAAATTGAGCGAAATTGTGAATTATGTCGGTATAGCAGCAGAATGTTAGCAGAATGTTGATATTTACCAGAATTTCGAGTAGGACAAATTAGGTATTAAACTTTAAAAGATGTTTAATAAATAAATAAATAAATTTAAAATGTTTAACCAAAAATAATAAATAAGTGCAATAAATAAATAAATATTTACATAAGTGCAGTGCAAAAAATCTCTAGGGAATATCAATTTACTTTACCTCAATTTACCTCGAACTCGCACACGGTCTTAGTAATACTTCTTTCAAGGAAATAATGTATTGGTAATTCTTCTTAATTTTGTAAAAAAAATTCTTACTTTTTAATCATAAAATAGTTGGCCTTTTTACGATTTTTATTAAGCATGCTAAACACATGCTAAATTTCTACAATGTTAAAGTATTAAATGTATGCTAAATAATTTATATAAAATGTCAACTTTTAAATCATTTTATAACAATTTATTAAATTCACAATGTGCTATTGCCGGTTTATTTAAATGTAATTTTATGGGCTTTATTTAAGATTTACACGAGAGTTTTGTTAGTAATTTAAGTTTTAATTACAAATTAATTTGTAATGTCAAAAATTTTCATTTTGCATTGCAAGCAACAGCAATTGACAACTGAAATTACAAATAAAATTCTCGTATGAATGCAGTATAGCTAGGTCTTCCATAATCAACAAATATCTAGTTACAATATTCTTATTTAGCAATTCAACAATAGGCCTTTTCGGTGGCTCGCAAGTGTGGCAAAAAACAGCAAAAACACTGTTTCTTCTCTCTAGGCCAGTACTTGTTTCAGTAAAGAAAAAAGTGTTACCAACGCAATAAACGAAGTATAGTCAACCTTCATTGGAAATTCCAACGAATATTGTAATCATATGTCAAAAATCGTTTTTAAACAAAAATTCAAACAAAATTCAAAAATTTTATAAATTTAAAATTGGGAAAAATGTGAAATTTCAGTATTTTATTTTGAAATTTCACTCATTCTTTTAAATACTGTATTCATTTTAATTTTCAATTTATGTTAATTATTTATTTTTTATACAAAATTTAATTTGTTTGCATTACATGCACAAATGCAAGATCTGCTTTTTGCCAAAACATAACACTTGAGTGATAGCAACAGTGGTACCAATGTCTCGCTTAGCGAATATAAGCGTTTTTTGCCACACTTGCAGCTAGTAACTAGTAAATGCCCCATCTCACGTATCTTTTTATTATTACCAGTTGTTTGTCTTATCAATGTAATAGTTTCATTAACTAGTTAGCGTTAGATGGCGTGTTAAATTTTTTATAAGTATAATCATTGCAAAATGTTTACAATCTCGAGAAATAAGCTCTAAGCCTAGGAAATCGGAACCGCACCATCACCACTGCTTGTAATCGTTTTAAATTTTTACAAAGGGATTTAACATACAAATCGAATATCATAGAACTTACTCACTTATTTGGCTATAACAACCCATTATCACTTTCCCCGGCGTTTCTGCTGCATACGCGTTTTCTTCAGTATCGTGCATCAAGCACAATAAGTGCGGGTTGAATTCGATCACTCTATCGCAGATATGTTCTTTTTCTATATATGTTCTATATATGATAAAATTGTGAAGGATAGTTTCATATAGTTTGTTTCACTTTATGATAATATTTGTTGTAATTGTCAATTAATCAATAGATTAAAAAAAAACAAATAGTTCCTTTTCAAAAAAATTTCAAAAGAAAATCATGAATCATATAACAGTAATAATTATGATGATTAAAATCATAATAAGGGTCTATTTCAAGGTTTAAAAGTCACTTAAGTATCATTTAAGTTAGCAAAGTTAAAGACTTAAGCATAACAGGAACCAGCCTTGAGAGTTTATCAGCAGATTCATATGATTAAAATTTAATTTAATTTACAATTTAACCAAAAATAGCCATTTTATCATATTACCGAGTAATCGAACTATGTCTGAATACCACTAATAGCTTGAATCGTTCATGTGATATATCCTTTTTTGTTGTGTATATATATTCATACACGGATTAGTTATCCAGTTGCTGAAATAATATAAAAAAATATATTACATTTTGTATGAAAATAAATACTTAATATATATTGAAAATTAAAATGAATACAGTATTTAAAGGAATGATAAGAATGTGTGAAATTTCAAAATAAAACAGAATTTTTATTATTTTGCCAATTTTCAAATTTATAAAATTTTAGAATTTTGTTTGAATTTTTGTTTACAAACGATTTTTGACATATGATTGCAATATTCGTTGGATTTGCCAATGAAGATTGACAATAGTTCGTTTATTGCGTTGGTAACACTTTTTTTTTTTTCTGACCAAAGTGTTTGGCCAGTAAACAACAACTGGTCTAGATAGAGATAATAGTCTTGTTATTTTGCGTACATTTCGACCAATATAGACTAGCAACTTGCTGTTTTTTGCCACATTGCCATACACTTAAAAACTTTCGATTTTAAAGCTCAATATCTCAAAAACTAAATCACATTGATACATAAAGTAGTTGATCAGAATATGTGACTGTACTAAAAACCGTTGTCAAATAGATATGCCGGCGAAATTGAAATCATACGGTAGAAATTACTAAATATGAAATCTTACAAATTAGTGTTTTCGTTTGGCAATGGCAACTCTAAATTGAATACTCAATTCATGCATACATTTTGTATGAAAGCAGCAAAGAGGAACAAACATACAAGTCAACTCAGTTCGCGAATCTCTCATTGTCTGAAGTCGCAAACTTGCTTTTGTGGTGTTTGTTCGTAGTAATTTGTGTTCCTGATTTTCACGCTCATACTTAAAACTAATTAAGAGTAAGTAAATTAAGTTTTAAATTAAAACTGCAATTTCAGCATTGAATTGTGCATGCAAATAATATTGCATAATATTTAATTCTACGGAAAAAATAAAAAAAACCTTAAATTAAAAAAAATTTTAATATAAAATGATTTCATAACCTTAAACGTGGTGGTAGTCCGACTTAAAGTGAAAATTTAGTGAATTTCTTCCGTTCTTTTTCGCCGTAATGTTTCTCACTCATGTTAGGGAAAACAAGACAAATAAAAAAAAATTATAGAAATGTATGGATAGATGGATAGACTGACTCGTCGTAATGAGCACATTTCCCTCAATTTTTTTTTTGAATATTTTTTTTTTTATTTAACATTTTTATGAGCTCGTACGATATTTTGTTTTATAAAAATTTATTTTTATATTTTTGAATTTATAATAAAAATAATTGTACACATATAATTGGTGGAAATGATTTGTTATTAAAATCAAAAAACCAAAAGAAATTTCAGTTGATTTAATACAAATAAAATCTTAATTTCACTTTTCAATATGATTTTTTGATAAGCATGTGTTTTATTGGATTCTGTTTTTAATTAATAAAAATTAATAATAATTTTATTTTGTTTGACTGATAACAAATGAATTAATGGAACTGCAACTTACTAAGGCGTAAATAAGAGCAAAAGGCTGCATTTATTACCTTTGCCGGTTGTAATTTTCTTTCATAATCATTTCAATGAATGAACGAACGGCTGGCAGGGCGAGGGGCCAGCCGTGTGAGTGAGACTATAGGCAAGTGTGACAGTTACGTAACGTAAATTTGATTTTTTTTGAGTCAATGTGGAAAAGAAAACTTTATTATTTTCCATAAATTGTTTATATACAATTAAATTAGTTTTTTTTTTCTAAATAAAATATAAATTCAATATTGTTTAAGCTTAATTGTTTGGAATATTTTAGAAATATTGTATTTTAGAATACTATTGCACTTTAAGCGTACTGTACTTGGTACAAAAAAAAAAAAACTCAAATGCTAATTTCAAATCATCATTTCATATGAAAGTTTATCTAGTTTACAATACTATATAAATACAATTTTATATTTTTATTCATTCACACTGTTTTGGGGATTTCATTTAACATATCGCGCCATACTGCCGCTCTGATAACTGCGCCCATTTATGCCAATGTACTTTCCTATCTATCAGATACAAAACTCGTTCGACTCTGGTAGATACAAGTTGACCAACATTAACTAGCTTTGCTCGTGATAACGAAGTACAAATCTAAGCTGTTAAGCACTCTTAATTAGTTATTCTGTTTTTTTTTAATTTGTTTTTATTCTTCTTTTTTTTTTATCATTTTTTCTCGTAATTTTGAATATTTTTCATGCAAAATTGTTACACAATCAGCGTGTGCTTGTTCGCATGAGAAATTAAATTAAAACAAAAAAAGAAAAAAAATATAATTTTATTTTTATAGTTCATAATCAAATTTATTAAATCATACATAATATGGTATATACATCTTTAGAACTCACAGAGTAGATTGAAGCCTAATT